GAAGTAGCAATCTAAATTAGCTACCTGTTAGTGTCAACCGCACAGAAAAAGGTTAAGCCTCCCTAAAATTCCGGGATTAGTAAGGCGCATACCTGTAGACATCTTGCCAGGCATAAAGCGCATGTGTTACGCAGGCGCAGACACAGCTTTAGAACACAAGCTAGGGGTAATCCTAGATCTACAAGCTAATGTTAGTTTAATTAGCTAAAGGAGTGCTGTAGAGATAGGTCTTACTCCCCTTAAAGAAGCCGAACTCCCCAGGCTAGGGTGGATTGGCCCACAACGACAGGACACATATGCCGCGTATGCGCTGAACCTGCGCCTCACCGACGATAACAGTGTAGAACGCTAGATCAACGCTACCGTGTACGGGGTAGACAAAGAAGGTTGTCCCTTGTTATTAGGCAACCTATTTCTGAAATAAGAAGACATTACTATAGACTGTAGACGCTAAACCTAGCGTTAGGGATACACTAAAGCACAAATACACTTAGTATTAACAAAAGAACTCCTTAAGGAAGCCGAGCGCATTAACTCAAACAGTTATCTACTAGAAACGCTTCTATTAAGCGGCGCAGAGTTAGAACTAGAGGCGCGCGTGTACCATGTACACGCAGCGCAAGAGGTTCGCATCCCGCATAAACTATTAGAATATGCGGATGTCTTCGACAACCGCAACGCAGAGATCCTGCTACAATACAAAAGTTTAGACTATGCAATCCCTATTGTAGAAGGCAAAGAGCCGCCTTACAGTCCGCTCTACACCCTCTCTTTACGTAAGCTTTAACTGCTCCGCGAATACATTAAAGAAGCCCTACAGCGAGGTTAGATCTAATACAGTACTAGCCCTGCTAGAGCTCCTATATTATTTGTACCTAAGAAAGACGGTACTCTTCGCCTTTGCGTTGATTACCGGGGTCTTAACAATGTCACTATTAAGGATCGTTGCCCGCTCCCATTGATTGGGGAGACCCTAGATCGCTTGTTAGGCGCACGATACTATACAACCCTCGACCTAAAAGATGCGTATCACCGCATCAGAATTAAGGCAGGAGACGAGTGGAAAACCGCCTTCCAAACGCGATACGGCCATTTTAAATACTTAGTAATGCCCTTTAGTCTCACCAATGCTCCAGCTAGCTTTCAGGCCTACATCAACAAGGCCTTAAGCGCCTATTTGGATCATATTTGCGTTGTGTACCTTGATGATATCCTCATATACTCGTATGACGAGGAAATTGCGACACACTGGCGCGCCGTACGCTCTGTACTTCAATCCTTAAGGGAAGCGGAGCTGTATGTCAACCTAAAAAAGTGTACCTTCGCATCAACAGAGGTACACTTCCTAGGGTTTATAGTCACAAGGCGCGGCATACGCGCAGACCCTGCGCGTGTCGCAACTGTAGTCGAGTGGCTAACTCTGACTAGCATTAAGGAACTACAATCGTTCCTAGGCTTCGCCAACTTTTATCGCCGCTTCATTGCGCGCTACGCTGTAGTAACGGCCCCTCTCACTAATATCCTTAAGGGAAATTAAATATTCTACTAGAACGAGATTACTACAGAAGCCTTTAGGGCGCTAAAAGACCATTTCACATATGCGCCTATCTTGCGCTATTTTAATGCTGCACTCGCGATTCGCCTTAAGACAGATGCCTCTACGTTTGCTATTTCTAGCATACTGTCTCAGCTGTTTAAGGACAACAAATAGCACCTAATTGCGTTTATCTCACGCAAGCTATAAAGCGCAGAACTAAACTATAAGGTTTACGATCTTAAGTTGCTGGCGATTGTCTATTGTTTTAAACAATAGAGACACTATCTAGAAGGCGCACAACAGACTATCTAAGTTTTAACAGATTATAACAACCTGCGCTCTATACGCGCGGTCTAAAAACTGAATCCGCGCTAAGCACGATAGGCGCTTTATTTAGGTGCTTTTGATTTTGAGATAAAGCACCGCCCAAGTTATTCTAACCCAGCAGACGGTCTCTTAAGAAGAGTGGATTACAAGCAGGAGAATACCTTACTAACTTAGTTGTTGCCTACCTTGCAGAATAAGCTTCTAGCAAGGGAAGAGCAGAGTAGAGCAAGAAGATCTACGCCTAAGCCCAGCTCAGTAGGCGCGTGTAAGACGCACGTAGCCAGTATATGCAGCGCCGTAAAGGTCTCTACTGCTAGCGCTATAGGGTGCACACCATGCGTGCCACGCTCACTGGCTAGGGTACTAGTCAGTGGCGAACCTGCACCAGCCGGGTCGGAAACGTTGTTGGAAGTTCTGCTCCAACTCCAGCAAAGGGACGCCTTTGCACAGGAGAGAAGCGCAAGCTCTAATTAACTAACACGCACTTAAGCTCGCAGAGACGCGCCTGTGTAGCGCGTTAATAAGAATTAAGTCCTAAGATATAATAGCAGGATATATGTTCCAGAGGAACTAGCTATCAAGCAGGAGATTTTGTTCTAGAACTATAACACACACATAGCAGGCTATTTTAGCGCACGTAGAACGCTTAAGCTAATCAGCAGGCTATACTATTAGCCAACGCTAAGCCAAGACGTTTAGGATTACGTACAGACTTGTGCGATATGCTAAAGGAGCAAAGCTCTAAGGCACATTAAGCACAGCAAGCTAGCACCGCTGCTAATCCTAAGAGATATCTTCGAAGAGGTGTTACTTAATTTTGTTACTAGATTGCTACCAGCAAAGGACAACTTAGGTTGCGTCTTTAATGCGGTACTAGTAATAGTTAACCGCTTCTTGAAGATAGCAATCTACATACCCGCTTTAAAGACATAGGGCGCGAAGCAATTTGCTAAATCCTATTTTAATTATGTCATCTTGCGGTATAGTATTTAAAAAGGTATTATGTTAGACTAAGGGTTAATCTTTACTTCTACTTTCTAGACAGAGATCTGCTACTAACTACAGGTAAAGCGCAGGCTTAGCACCGCCTTCTATCTACAGACAGACAGGCAAACAGAACGCTAGAATTAGACTATAGAACAGTACCTAAGGATGTTCACTACAGACGCACAGGACAACTAGGCTTTATTGCTCCCTACTGCCTAATTCGCTTACAACAACTCAATCTATAAATTAACAAAATTAACACCATTCTACGCGGTATACAGGAAACGCCTATTACTTTCTATGCCACCTGAGGACAGCCAGCGAGAAGAGGAGGTGCTAGACGCTGTTAATAGGGTGCAGCGCATACACAGCGCACGCGCGTTAGCTAAGGAACAGCTGCGCAGAGCGCAAGAGTACCAGAGCCGCTACTACAACAACAAACACAAACCTAAAGTTTTCCACTAAGGAGACCTAGTGTTATTAAGTACAAAACATATTAACATACTCTACTAACTAAACAAGAAGCTGTCTAGCAAGTTTATAGGGCCCTTCTGTGTACAAAACGCAGTTAGAACGCAGGCTTACTGCCTGCAATTACCACCGAACTATTGCATTTATAATGTATTCTATGTATCACTCTTAGAACGATAGAAACCTAGAGAAAATTAGGAGGATAACACCTAACCGCCTGAAATTACTCTAGAAGGCAAAGAAGTTTAGGAGGTTAAGAAAATCCTAGGGAAAAGAACAAGGAAAGGCTAACTACAATATTAGCTACGCTAGAAAGGCTACGATGAATCCTAGGATACCTAGACTCCAGCTTCAGATTTCGAAAATATGGAAGATTTGATCCAAGATTTCAATCAAAGCGCACAGCAGAAGAGACAAAGAGGAAGAGCAGGAGGGTCTCGTTCGTAGCGCGCAAGAAGCGCAATCCTAATATAAGGGAACCGGGGTATCTATGCATACAAAAAACAAACAAACAGAAATCTACAAAACTACTTAGTCACCACTATCACCCTTAACACCCTCAACACCCTCACCACCACCACCACTAGTCTCATCCTCCTCACCCCCTCTAGAACCACTATCCGAACCACCAGCGCCCTCTGAGCCACCAGCCTGCAACTTACCGTCGCTAAGAGTGCTCGGATTATCAGAATTATCGGTATTATCACCCTTACTGGCTATGCTATTCTATGAATTTGAAATTAGCAAAATAAAGTTAAAAAGTAGAACTTATAGGAGAAGCGCATACTAAGTGTGCTATGTGCTTAACAACCTGCTCTAAAGCGCCTGCGATCCTGCGCTGCTTAACCAGGATCAAGCTTAGGAAGTCCGCACTAGTCTTGGGAATCTAGGTGGGAACTCCTATTAGAGTACCCGTATAGGCAGCGGTACGGCGGCGGGTCGCGAGCTCGAGATTGAATTGGCGCTAGCAACGCGCAAGCTTAGCGCCAGCACCCAGCACAGTAGCACTAATTGTGAGGCGTAACTGTAGGCAATAGTGCTTGCTTCACGTTACTAAGGATAGTGGGAGATAGCTCATGTATTCAGACTACAGGTGTAGGTTGTAAAGAGAATAATCCTTACCTCGCTCTACAGAGCGAGGCGCGCCTTATAAGCAGGTTTAGCGCGTACTCTGTTCCTTCGAGGGACGTGTGTCTCGAGCCCTTGTTACAGAACCTCCCTCTCTAGTCTAGCGTCCTTGACAGCAGCGGCCTCGATAAAAACCTCTCCTGTTGTTTCAAGAGTAGGAAAAGAGTGTCCTCTACTATGCGCCCCAGATCTGTTGCGCTTGCGACTCCTCTGCGTTGTTCTTATGTAGCTCGTATAATGCTCACAACTCACCCTATAGTGACGAGATGTAACAGAAAGAGTTGTGAGGACTGTTGCTTTGTTGTAATACTGTTGCCTTGTTGTGACGAAAATTTTTTATGTTGTTAAGGTAAAGGCGGAAAATTTTTCGCTCGCTTGTAGTAATAGCAAACAGTTGTTATTGTGATATATTGCTGTTGTCCTCCATGTCCCTTACACGCTCAACACCTTCGCATTGCACACCACATAACGATACAACGCAGACTTATCGCACACTAGTCGCACTTCAAGATAGTCTTCTATCCCCTTCCTAAGTACATTTCGAAAACCGTCCTTAAGAAGGCCGATCCTTACGAGTGGAGCGAGCGCGACAAGCGCGTGTCAGAGGTGGCTACCACGCCGACTTGCCTGCGCTGCGCACAAAACGTAGCTACTGGCAAAAAGCTTTGCAAGAAGCCTAAACAGAAGCGCTGTGGCCATTGTGTCAAGGGCAATCGTGGCGGTTGCTTCCTAGTAACTTTCCCCTTGGTTTTTCTAGACATTTAGATTTTTGCTAACATTTTTGTAGGTTCCTAGGGATATAGTTAGCAAGCTCAACCGGCTGTATCGCCTTCGGGTCAAGTATGACACTGCTGTGTCAAATTCCAACAATCCCAGGATCAGTGCTACTGTGCTGGGTGCTGGCGCCAAGCTTGCGCGTTGCCAGCGCCAATTCAATCTCGAGCTCGCGACCCGCCGCCGTACCGCTGCCCATACGGGTACTCCAATGGGAGTTCCCACCCAGATTCCCAAGACCAGTGCGGACTTCCTGAGCTTGATCCTGGTTGAGCAGCGCAGGATCGCAGGCGCTTTGGAGCAGGTCGTCAAGCACATGGCACACTCGGTATGCGCTTCTCCCATAAGTTCTACTTTTTAACTTCATTTTGCTAATTTCAAATTCATAGAATGGCATGGCCGGTGAGGGTGATGATACCGATGATTCTGATGATCCGAGCACTCTTGGCGACGGTGAGTCGCAGGCTGGTGGCTCGGGG